TAGAGACTTAAACATGCAGGAAAAATATCCCCAAGGATTCCAGGTCTGGGGGGGTCTGGGCAGTGGCATCTCCCCTCAGGAGGTCTTTGTTTCATGGTGGCCATGGTGGCATCTGCTGTTCAGGGGGGGATCTATTGGAGCATCATTCTTGGAGGGGGGGCTTCAGTATGGCTTTAGTTTGCAGGCAGTTCCTTCCCTTGGGACCTGCTGCGGCTGGTAGGACAGCAAGCAGAGAAATGCAGGGGACCCATCCCAGCGGTGTCCCCAGCTGTAGCCTCCTCTGCCTTGCTTGTGTTTGAGCCTGCACACAGCAGGTAGTCTTTGGGACTGATGCTGCAGGAGTTTGGGGGTGGCTGGTGTGGAGCCATAAGGCTGCCCAAACTCCTGCAGCATCGGCCCTGGCTGAGTCCCCACATGGGGATGGCACAGTGACATCTCACATGCCCCCAAACTGCCACCGCTTGCCCAAGGGGACTTGCAGGGCAGAGGGCTGGGACCTACATGAAGTCAGCCCTGAAAGTGCACTTCCCATAGACTTTCCCACCTTTCCAGCTAATGGAGGTGATTTTCACCTCCTTTCATCTAGAAAACCACTGACAAAAATCATATCACAACTTCCCTGGCAGCAGGAGAGGTGAAGAGATGTGCTTGCCATTCATAGTAGGTGATTTTTTGTGCTGCCTGTCAGAGGAGGATTACTCTGGCTTGGGATACAGAGCAGTGCTCAGGCACCCCCATCCCACACCCAGCTGGGCACAGGGATGCGCAGCAAGGGTAGAGGTTACTCACCCTCAATTGCTGCTTCTCCTCCCTCATGCCTGCCCTGTGAGAGGTGATGGTCAATGCAAAAATAGCCCAGCATCATCCTTGAACAGCAAACATCCCCGCTGAGGGGATGGTGCATCCACAGGGTCCTGGTGCATCCCTATACCATGCCCAAGCACAGCCTGGAAGCATCCAGCAAAGGAAGTGCCTCTGGCCAGCAATGGGAGCATCGTCATGGTGGGGCAGCTGCTGCTATGGGCTCCTTAGGAGCCATTGTAATCTCATTCCAGGAGCAAATCACATTCCCAGCAGCCAAGGGCATGTTATGTCTGAATAAAAATGGTAATTCCCAGCAGATTGAGTTGGGAACAGGGAAAGTGATTGTTGCTTCCTCTTGCAAGGCCTTGCTGGTGCCCGTGGGGAGCGTGGTGGTGATGGAGGAAGCAGAGGGCTGTGCAGAAGGATGAGGCTCCAGCTGGAAAGGGAGAACATGGGGAGCTTCAGCAAAACCCCAGCTCCTCACATCCTGCAGGATCCGGCTTCAGCTCCTTGCCTGCCCTCTCCCTGCCCTGCTGCTCACCCCAGCTGCCCAGCCCTGGGAGCGGAACTGTTTGTTTGCAGTTTCCTAGGAGAGAAATCACGTTAAAAAAATTAATTACACACCTGAAAACAAAATCTGGCTGCTCAAGTGCACATCAGGGATAAATGGTGTGCTCCAAATGAGACAATTTACAGCTTGGGTAAGTAATGAAGGAACCCAGCCAGGCGTGAAAGCGGAGGCAGAGAGTGACTTTGGGGGGGTGCAAGGCTTTCCACCCCCAGCCCCTCCATCCCTCTGAGCCCCTCTTCGTTGCTGCTTGCTGAGAAATCCCAATCTGCTCAGCACAGCTGGCTCCTTGCAGCACCAGCCTGGGGAGCTGAGCAGGGATTTTGGTTGAGGTTGAGCCCTTTTAGAGCTCGGAGATGGGAATTGCCCTGGAGAATGGGGCAGATGGGGTAGGTAATGGAGCACAGGGCTGTGCTGTGCACCCCAGGGTGAGAGGGGCCCCGTGGGCCCTGCCACACCCGTGGTACCCCAGCAGGGATGTCCGGCATAGGGAGCCCTCACTGCACCCCGGCCCCGCTGGCATCCCCCATCCCACGCTGGCCTCTGCAGTCCTGTGCCACGCGGTGTGTGGGAGTGCTGGCAGCGTGCTGCCGGGAACGGGCAGCAATCCAGGCTTGCCGGCGAGAAGAAAATCATTTTTCCCTTATTTTTCCCTTTACGGTGTCCTGCCTGGTCTGTGAGTGCAGGGATTTAAAGGGGCTGTGTCCCAGTGTCATCGCCCCAGGTTGGTGGGGATGGTTGATGTGAATTGATCCGTGTGATGGAGCTGAGATCTCCTTTGTGGGTGGGCTGGTGGCTGTGGGTGCTGCCTGGCTTGCTTATAGGGCACCAGCTATGGGGACTGCTGCTGCCCTGGGCACCCCTCTGGGCAAAGCTGGAGTGTGGGAAGCATCCATGAGGGGCGAGGAGCAGCTTTGTCCCCTTCACACTGCCCATAGGGGAGCTCGGAGCTCAGCCACACCCCAGAAGCCATAGGAATCAACACCCCTCCCTGCCCACCAGCTTCAACAAGGGGTGGGTTCCCCCCAGGCTCCCAACATGTGATGGTGCGTGGGACTGGGACCAGCCTCTCTTCTCCCCTCTCTGCTCCACTCCCACCTCTGCTCAGAGCCGCCTCGGAAACCAGCCAGCTAATGATGCGAGCTGCGGAGCAGATGGGGGACCTGACGCTATACTCCCCAGCAGCGGATTAAGCATGCAAATAGATGTATAGCGACGCAGTGCCTCTTGGCCTGTATCCTTTCCACCCCCACCACACGTATGGCATTTCAATTCACAGCATCCCCCGGCCTGGCCTGGAGCCACATGTGAAGGGCAAGGACGGACGGATGGACACAGGGCTGGGAATGGTCCATGCAGCCCTGCCTGCATGCAGGTTGGCCCCTCGTTTGAAAAAGCTCCTCAAATTCTACCCCCTCCATGTGTCCCTGCAAGACAGCAGTGGCTGCATGGGTGAGCTGCATTCCCTGCATCATCTCCTCTGCCCCTCTTCTTGTGCTCCTTTTGCAGCATTGGTGCGTGCTGCTGCCCTGTGACCCTTTTCTAAAGGAGATGCTGTGCGGAGAGGAGACGTTGTGAGAGCAGGGCTTGGGGGAGGGACCCAGGTGCTGCAGCAGGGATGCTCTGGGCTGCTGGCAGAGCTGCTCGTGCTCTGGGGAACACCAAGAGGAGCGGTTTAGATCCTGCAGCACCCATGACCACTTCTCGGCCACAGAAAGTCTGCAGAATGTGATCTGGCAGGGGCAGGACAGTCTGGCTTGAGTCCTGTCCCACCTCCAAAACCTGCTGAGAGCTGGAAGGTGCAATGAGGGTTAGGGTTTCATGTTGTCTGGACCCACCATGTGACTGGGGCTGCCCCAATGGGGACCAGTTCAGCCCAGACTGGGAGCAGAAAGGATGCTCTGCCTCAGCCCCATAAGCCAGCCACCCCTAAAAAGAAGCAAAGCCTCCCCTTCCCAACATGGGATTGAAACTGTCTTCACCTGCAGCATCGCTCTTTCAGACCACCTCTGCACCGCAGCACAGCATAGTGCAACGCCGTTATCTCTAATGCCTGGGAGCAGGAACAGATTAATATTCATCACAAGGGACCGGAGCATATGGAATATGAATAATGCTAATTGTGTCTGTATAGATTTAGCGTAAGAAGCTTCCGTGCATTAAGGAGGGGGGGAATTAGTCCTTCTCTGAACCGTTTCAGACTCATTCGCAGCGAAGAAGTGCCTGCCTGCCTGTGGGTTTTGAGATGGGGGTGAGGATAAAACTTGTGTCCTGTGCCTGAGTGCAGGAGGAGCTAAGGGATGCGGAGTGGGTGCATGCAACTTCTGCCTCTCAGGAAACAGTGATGGAGCACTCAGTCACTGCAGATGCCAAGGAGGAAAAGGGGCTCCCTACAGATACGTGAGCTCTGCTGCTGTGGGCTGCCGTGGCTAGGGACACCCCGAAGCTCCTGGTCCCTGGAGTGAAGACACAGTTGTGCAGGGCTAGCTGATACATCTTCCTCGCACCCTGGGTGAATTTACCTGTCCCCAGCTGCAGGCAGCTGCTGCTTATGGCAGGGAGCTGGCAGGGGGCAGTGCCCTGTGTGCAGGGTGCTGGAATGGCTAATGAGGCACTGGGGAGAGGAAAACTTCATGCCTTAAACGTTCATAGCATTTGCCTTCTGGGGATGAGGGTTGGTGCCCTGCTTTAATTGGATCAGCTCATGGCTTTAATAAGAAGAGAAGGCTCATTTACTAGGCTGGGCAGTGGAGGCAGGCAGGAGAGCTGGCTGGGCGCTGTGGGTCCAGGGCTTTGGCAGAGCCTCCTGGCTCCAGGCAAGCGTGTCCCGTCCTTGTGTGTCATGAGGGCTATGGGGGACCTGGTAGGTGGCCCCCTCCCTGCAAGGCATGGCGCTGAGCTTCCCTCTGTGCTCCAGTGCTGCAGTGATGGGTCCAGGCTGGACACCCCTCTTGTGTGCCGAGATGGTCCCATGGCAGTGGGGACCTCGGGAAGGGCTCTCTTGTGGGCTAGGAGAGGTTTTTCACCCCCAAGGAGAGGACTGAAAACACCCGGGCTCCATCTGCTCCCTGAGGTGCCTCCTGGCATCCCTGCGGCTGCAGGGTGAGGGACTCTCTGTGCCTTTCCCTGCGCTCCCCAGGGCAGCTTCACAATTGTCTCCTCCTCAGCCACTGGCCTCTTTCTCTGCCCCCATCACTGAGAATGTGGGATTCCTCTTTCTGCACTTTGATCTCTCCAATTTTTAGCTCATTCTGGCTGCCTTATAGGCACTAATCCCTCTGCAGGCATCAGGGAGAATCCACCTACACTCCATGCAGTCTGAAGTCTTATTGTGTAAACAAAATCTCAAACACGAAATCCCTAATCCTCAATGGTTGAAACCTCCGATACCTGTTCCCATGTGTCCTGCCCAACAGAGAATGGAAGAGAGAGGGAGGGAGGGTCACTGCTGTGTTTGCTCCCATCCTCAACCTCAGCCCAAATTAAACATCCGTGCACGCTTTTAACCTTGGGTTTTTCCTTTCTTCCCGGCAGCCCATGGCAGCGAGCCGCCTCCGGCCCCCTCCCTGCTCCACTGCATTTGTTCAGCTTAGGGGATCAAACTGGGTGACATTTGGAGTTGGGATATTTAAAATGCAAATCTCCCCTGGATAGATAAGTGGAATTTACTCCCTCTTATGAAGGGAACCTCTGGGGAGCGCCGAGCGCGGCAGCCGGCCCGCTCTGCATGCGAGATCCAGCCGGAGGGGGGGAATCTCTGCCTCCCCCCCCCAGCCCATCACTTCCGGGCAAACACTCCTGCGACAACCATCCTCATCACCATGAAGGCTCCCGAATTGCCCGCAAGCACAGCGCGGAGGTAAGAGCTGCGGGGCCGGCAGGGAAACCTGCGGCGTTTGCCAGGGAGGGAGAGAGCTCGGTGGCCGCTGGTGTAATCCCAGAATTGCCGTTTCCCTCCTCTGCTGCTGATGGATCGTTGTCTCTCTCCCTCCCAGCTCGGAAATTAAAGCTTTCACCACTTTTCTCACTGCAGAGGAACAAATGGGTGTCTGAGAGACAGAGATTTACACTTTACATTCCCTTTCGGAAACCCAGTGTGATTTTCCAGCCACTGCAGATGCTGGGCCTGTCCTGATGAACTGAGATGAGATCTCAGAGGGGGGAAGAAGGAGCCCCCCTGTATCTCCCCCTCCTCACCTGCCTGCAGCAAACCGGGTGGGTGCACATCCCAAGGGTTTGGCTGAGAGAAGGCTCCAGTCCTGCCTTGCCCCTCTTCACTCCTGCAGGTGCCCCCCCCCCCTTGCCCATCCCTGCCCAGGGGTGCAGGCTCCAGGCTGGGCTGATTCACCTCCTGACGTGGCTGCGCTTGAAACCTGCTGAACCCCCCCAAAGGGAGCAGAACCAGAGCATCTGTAGGGAAAACCACTGGATTTGCTGCCATCCCCTCCAGGATGTGCCAGCAGACACCAGGCTGCAGCTGGTTTAGGGGATGGGAGGACTTAGGGGTCTGGGGGATGTGTAAAGTGCGGCAGTGCTGGGATGGAGAGAAGCAGCTCCAGGTGGGAAAACTCTGGGAGGGCTGTTGGGGTTGTTCCCAGCCTGGGAGCCATGCACAGGCAGCAGCTTCTTCCCTGGCAGCCCCTGGTCCCCAGCAGCTCACCCAGCAACAATATAAGCAAAACTGGGAAAATCATAAAGCAACAAAAGTTGAGCAGCTCTTTGAGCTGGTTCCGGGCTCTGCAGCGGCTGGGAGCTTCCCGCAGACCACAACGCACCGAGGAATATCTGGAGCCTCATAAATATACTCTGGGAATGGAGGAAAAGGGATCTGAATTTCCACTTTGATGCATAATGTGCTTTCTGGGGAAAAAAAATAAAAATCAGCCTTCTTGGCAGGGACCAGACAGCTTCCCACTAAATCTCCTGGAGGAGCGCGTTGCCAGTTGCGGAGATAAAACCTCAATGAAACACAATTAGCTTCTACTTGGATTAAGCCAAACTTGCCTCTCCCCAGCCACCCAGCCACCCTGGCCTGGCGGCGGGATGGGGACTGCTTGGTGCCAGCCTGCAGCATCCCCAACCCCACTGGGGTGGATGGGAGAGCGGCTCTGCCCCGGCAGGAGGATCACCCTCTCTTCATGGTTAAGGGGACATGTAATGAACACATAGAAGCTGGAGTGCTGCAGGGCAGCCCCTGCCATATCACCGAGGACAGGGGCTCATCACTGCTGGTTTGCTGTGGTTCTTTGTGCTGGGGAGCCTGGTGGGGAGCCTGGGGCAGGGTCCCTGTGTTGTCCCCTATGGTTCGACCAGCTTGGGTTTGGGGCACAGCAGTGCTGCCTCCCTTCCCTGCTCAGTCCTGGAGCAGGGGGAATAGGGCTGAGGGGACCTGCTGGTAGCAAAGGTTACTGAGAGATATTTTCCTTTAGGCAGAAACATTTTGAATATTGATTTTAAAAACAATCTTTATAAGCTGGGATGTTTCCTGGTCTTGGAGTGTTCAGGCTTTAGCATCGCTCATGGTGGGAATCACAGAATGGTCAAGGTTGGAAAGGTTTGTAATGTCTCACCCCTGTTTGCCGCTGTCTTCCAGGGTATCACATCGAGCCCAGACATGTGTCAGCCTCGCTTGTGCCCCGGGCGACTTTCAGAGCAGGCTCCTGCCCCCAGGCTGGGTCGTGGTGCCCCAGGGCCAGGATGTCAGGGAAAGAGTGCAGAGGAGGTGGGAAAAACGCCTGGGAGCCATCCCCAGCCCCACAGCATCTGCCCTGTCGGGGAGCGACTGCCAGAGGGACCAAGGGATGCTGGCAGGGCTCTGAGGGGAAACCGGCCTGTTAATTAAGAGCTTAATTACCCAGGAAAGAATGGTGGACTTAACTCAGCCTTGAAGCAGGCCAAGCAAGTGAAGCGTGCTGGGGGAGGGACTGGGGAGGTGAGCTGAGGGCATGCTTTGCATTCTGTGGTGTATGCAAATACCTGCAAGATTAATACATGGAGGGAACAAAACCCCTCAGCCCCCTTGGTACCTCTGTCCTGTTGTCCCCAAGGTGTCCCCCTGCATCCTCACTGGACATCAGTCCCATCATCCTGCTCACGGGTCCTTGCCTGGGGAAAGGGATTCTGTCCCCGCTGCTGTACTTGTGGGGTTATGGGGGTCTGGCTCTCCTGCAGAACAAGGATGGATGCACATCTCAGCCTGGGGAATGAGGATGAATAACTCAAAAGCAGCCCGGGGATGTGGTGCCAACAGAAGGACACAGGATGGGGACCATTCATCCCTCTGGCAATGTGACATACACCAAGGAGGGGGTAGCCTGTGGGCTGGGCATTTCTGCTGGTGGAGGAGGAGGGGAGGAGAGTTTCTGAGCTAGAAAGAGAGAAGGGTTTCTTTGGCTTGGCGCATTTTGCTGCAGAAAGGCTGTTTCAGCTCCGAGGGTAAGGGAAATGAAACAGAAAAATACCTCCCATTAAGCAAAAGGGATGGAGAGCCCTGCATAATACTGCTGTCTGCAGGGGTTTCTCGCTCCGAATTTGCATCCAGCACAGCCTTTTGCCAGCACCCAGAGAAGATGTGCTGCGAGCTGCTGTAGGAGATGCGGCTGGAGGGGACGAGCTTCTGGCCCCACTGCCGCATCCCTTACTCACCCCATGGATGGTGGGCAGTGCCTGGGGAGTGGGTGGGTGAGCAGATTCCAATGGTCTGATGGGCAGGTCCCACAGGGATACTGGGATCCCCATGATGTGGGCTGAGTCACAGGCATAGGGAGCTGCTGGAGGGGGGTTGGTCAATGACTATAGCTGGTGCTGGGTGTCTCCTGACTGCTGGGACACAGGCAGTGCAGGTGCATCCTCTTGCTCTGCCTACATCTGCATGGCCCTAGGGAGCAGCCCTAGGAGAGATCCTGACCCCTGCAGACACCCTGAGCCCAGGTAGGGTGTTCACTGGGGGATGCTCTTTCCTCTCCCTTTGCTGGGAGTTTGTTAAGACCCAAGTAGACGAGATGAGTGTGTGGTAGGAAGAACAGCATTCGCTCTGGAGCTTTCCTGACCTCCAAGAAATTAATTACCAGTGCTGGTATTGCATATCATCAGCATCAGCCTCCGGGTGCCTGGGGTTGGAGGCATTGCTGCTTCTGCTTCCAGCGGCTCTGGGCTCGTGCTGACAGGGAGATCTGTTGCTGTTGTTGGAATGGGAGCTGGAAGCAGGGAGAGCAGATGAGGCCGGAAGCCAAGCTGTGCAAACACTGCTGGGGCGGCAGCACCTTGCTAGCCCTGCGCGGGGATGGTGGCTGGGATGTGACAGGGCAGCCCCGGTGCTGAGAGCAGCTCAGACACCCACAACCGAGTCCCAGGGTGCCCATTTGGCTGGGAGCAGGACTATAGCCTGAGAGATGGTGGCCTGTGATCAAGTGCCCCATCCTGCACTGTGGACAGGAATCCCCCATGGGCAGCATGAACGTGTGCACATGCGTATGTGCGGCACACCGGGAAGGTGGATGTTGCAATGTTTGTTTGATGTGGGACACACAGGGGCATCTGTTCCGGCAGAGCTGGCTCTGGCGTGTGTCTGACAAATGGTGTTTGGTTTGGTGGTGGAGCATAATGTAAGTGATGACGGCTGCAGGCACAGGGAAGGGAGCACCTGTCTGAAGGATGCTCTGGGGGAGAAAGGAGACGGACAGAAGGATGTTGGACATGGCTCTTGGTGGTGGCCAGGTGCTCCTTTGCAGGACCTGCATCTCACTGCCTGGCCAGGGCACCTGGCTCTCTGCACCCAGCCCTGTGCAATGTGCCTTGGGCCACCAGGAGAAGGTGAGCTGCTGGTGGGGAGAGGGTCTGTTTTCTGGGTGTGAGAAGGTGCTGGTTGGTGTTCAGGGTCAGGCTGGTGCTGGGTGGGTGTCCCACGCTGGAGGCACGGCCTGCATGCAGCATGGGCTGCCACCACCCAGGGCTGTGGGGCTTCGGCTGTCTGGGATGATGCTCTCTGGGCACGTCTCTGTGTCCAGGTGCAGCCCCAGTTGGGACACTGGGGGACACTGAGCCCTGGGGCCAGCAGGACCTCAGCTAAGGGTGGGCTTTTTTGGAGGTGGGGGGTGATGGGGGATTCTGGGGACCTCTGCCCTGGGGGAGCAGGAAGTCCCTTGATGCGGGAGATGTTTCTATCATACTTGTGCCCTCTAGTGGCTTTGTCCCCTCTCCCGTCCCATGGCCACCATCCCAGTGCCATGGCCATGTTCTTGGTACCCATGGCCACCATCCCACAGTGCCCAAGGTCAGCCTTGAGATACATGGGTGGTGACAGTGATGGGCAAGAGGGACTTGGATCAGGCCAGGAGGGCACCTTGGCACCATGTGATGCTGTCTTCATGGTCACCTTTTCCAGGCTGGAAGGGAGTGCTTCTCCTTGATTTCAAGGTAGTTTGGCATGGAAATATTTATATCTGGGGGGAGGCAATGAATCCCAAATCCAGAGGCTTGGCTCCTCTAGAACTGTTGGGTGAGTGGCCCCAAAACTGATTTTATCCCAGAAAATGAATCCTTGAGTTTTCTAACACAAAGTTTCTCATTTTTTGACTGCTCAGGGCTGTCTGCTGCCTTTCTCTCTGCTCTGTGTTTGAACACACGACAGTCTGAAAAAAAAACCAACACACTTTTCTCATTCTACTGATGTTTCCCTTTTATCCAAAAGAAATAAAGCCCTCCTTTGCCTCCAGCCCACAGCAGCCACGGCTCCTCAGCTGCGCTCCTCTGGGAAGGGATGCCTGGATACCCTGCGGCTGCTCCTGTTTCAAATGTGCCTCTCCCCTTCCTCGTGTCTCCTCTCTGCATGGTTTTGGACCCTACCCAGAGCTGGGGCAAGGACGGGAAAGGTGGTTTGGTGAGAGAAGGCCAGCCAGGCACTGCGGGTCCCTGGGGTGGTTGGCGGAGCAGGGTGAGGATGGGATCCTGTATATCAGGACAGTGGGAGCTCCTATTGTGCCCTGCAGGGACAGGGGGATGGGATGTTCCCGTGCTCTTGGCAGCTGTCCCTGTATGTGCTCCCACTGCTAGCAGGGGGATATTTCCTATCTGAGAAAGCAGATGTTGGGTAGGAGCTTCCTAAGCAGTTTCTCTTCCCTCCCAGAACTGCTGCTTGGAGAGAAAAATTAATTCTCCTTTGTTGTTGGTTTAAGGGAGAACAAAACCAAATGTCACCTGGAGAAGTTCCTGCTGCTGCACCCCCAGGGCCTGGAGCTGCTGCCCCAGGATGGGGATTAGCACATCACTGAGAAAACCACCCTGGTTGATTGTCCCTGGGTGATCAGACAGATGATCGATGCTGGGATTAGCCTGTACGGTGGCTGCAGTGACAGCATCGACCTGGAGCAGCAGCTTCACCCTGCCTGTGCTAGCACTGAGTTCAACCCATCCCCGTGGCCTCCAGACTGGTGTATGCACTGAGCAGTGTCGGGCCTCTACCAGCCCCATGAGGGGCTCGGGGGCACTGACAGCAGACAGCAATTGCCACAGATGTTCTGCATTTGGGATTTCTCCCCTTTCCAGCCTCATTAGTATTGAAATTAAAAGCAAGTGTTTGTGAATTGGTAGCTGTTCTCCAAGACCCTAATTAGCAAATCTCTTCATCCCCCACGGCTGCAATCTAATAATCAAAAAAAACCCCCAACACCCAAACAAGCCCCAAACCTTGTTTGATGGATCAGGAGTGCTGCTGGAACAGTCAGAGACGGCTCTTCCTGCTTAGTATGATAATTAAACACTTCAATTGCAGTTTTTTTATGCAATTAGGTAAGTCTCTAATTGTTATCATAGGTGGCAGGGGTTTGGGTGTGTGTTTGCCAGTTCTTCCTCCCTGAGCTGGAGTGAAACGTGGATGCTACAGGCGATGCAAGGCCTCGTCCTGTCTGGTTGGGTTGGGGAAGGAGTGCTCTGCATGCTCTGCTGCAGTGACTTGTTTCCTGCCTCTTTGCAATGGAAAGTGCTGATGAGGTGATTTCTCTTTCTGCGGTGGGGTCCTCTCCCCAGGGGTCTCCCCTGAGGTCATATGGGGGGTCCTGGGGAGGGGATGTGTCCAGCCACGGCATCCCCTTGCTGCCGGGCATCCCTGCTCGGAGCTGAAACCAAAAGCTGTGGTTGCCGCGGGGGCTCGGGGAGCGGAGCGGGACCGCAGCGGCGCTCGGGACGCACCCAGCCCCAGCCGGGGGTGCTTCGGGGCTCTGCTCCGCCGTGTCCGGGCCGGGCGGGCAGGCTTGTCCCCGGCAGCAAGCAGGGGGAGCTCCGAGCCTGCGCTGCCGCCGCGCAGAGCCCCGCGCCTCGGGGCTTGCGGCCGGGCCCTGGCAGCGCCGTTCCGGGGCAGGACGCTCACGGAGCGGGGACCGCTCCCGCCTGGCGCCGGGCAGGGAGCCCCTTCCTGCACCCCCCCCCCTCCCGCTCAGCATCCTCCCTTCCGGGGGTGTCCTGCAAACAGGGCTCTGCCTGCCCCCCGCTGCGCTCTGGGGATGCCGTGCAATGCGGAGCGAGCACGCTGTGCCTGCGGGTGATGGGGGTCAGGGCCGGGAGAAAAGCTCTTACAGCACAGCAATGCGTCGGTGTTCGTTCAAGTCCTACCCAGTCCTTGCTGCTGGCGGCCTCCTTCTTCCTACAAGCTCAGGGGCTGGGGATTGTGTGTACATGGGTGTGTGTGTGGGGGTGTTCTCACTGGTCCCACAGGGCAAGATGCTCTGTGTGTGTGTGTGCGTGCCAGCCCTTCCCGGAGCAGCTGCAACCTGTGTCTTGGGAGTTTGTGCTGTGTCCAGGCTCTATCTCAGCAGAGGGATGGATGTGGCATGGCAGGGTATAGTGGACAAGATCTTCCCAGGACAAAACATGCCCAAAGAAATCCATTATCTCATTTTCTCACTGTGTTAAATAGTTTTTTATAACACTGCTTTACTTCTGCACAGGCTCGATGCAGAAACATCCTGGTTTGGATCCTGCTGGGGAAGCTAGAGCCCAGGGACAAACCCTGGATGCTCAATGTTTCCCAGGGGGCTCCAGGGCCACTCTTCTTGAAGTGGGGCTGGAACAGCAGATGTAAAGCAGTCACAGAGAGCAGGGATAGCACCAATCATGTCAAAACCTCCCCAGCGTGGGAGACAGTCTTGCCCAAGTATAGATGCTGCAGGACATCCAGCACTCACAGCTGCTGACATTCACCATGCCTAGCCCTCCTGCGGCATCATCCCCACTTCTGCCAGCACCTCTGGCCCCTCTGAGGGATGGGTATGTCCGTTGGACAAGGTACCAGGGAAGCCAGTGTCTATGCTTGCCTTCTCCATCCTAGGTTGGTGTCTCTGACACCAAGACCTTGATCACAGACCAGAGCCCCTTTCATACTCCTGTGCCCTCTGAGCCTGACCCACTGCCCTGGGGGTCTGTGGAGGGCACCCCTAGCCCAGCCCTGCTGGGGATATGTGTTGGCTGCTGACCGAGCTCCTTGGGCACCACTGCCTGCTGGCATGGGGCTTGACACTGGAGGTGTCACGGCCCCAGTGGGGCAGGAGAGAAGCTCTTCTGCAGCTCCTCCAGGGGCTCTTCAAACACAACCCCTTGGGCAGATGAAGGCTCCTCAGCAATGTTGGGGGACAGGGCAAATGTTGTTTGCCAGAGCAGGGGTCCTGCAAGGGAACAGAGAAGGGGTTCAGTAGCTTTGCAGAGTGCAGGTGGGTCCTTTCTCCCTGCTCTCCTCTTTCCTGCTCCCCACCATAAGGGATGTTGCATTAAGAACTCTCTGTGCCTGGGAGGGACTGTGGTGCGATGCTGTGAGGATGTTCTTGGAGCACAGTTATATGCTGAGTGCTAACATTTGGGCAATGCTCAGCAGGCTCATGTCACTCCGGGACCCACTGAATGGCATCCCTCTGAGTGACATCACTTTGCTTTGTGGCTTGCTTTGTCATCTGCTTGGGCCACCCAGCAGTGGTGGGGTTTTTCCTCTGCGAATAGCTTGACAAAAGTAAGTGTCCTGGGGTTGGTGGTGCTGTGCTCCTGGGTGCTCCTTTCCTCATGGCCCCTGTAGATGGCTTGGGGACTTTTCAGGCTGGTGCCCTGTGCAAGGTGACATTTCCTGTCCCCACCCCCGTGGTGCAGAGAGGAAATCTGTGGTCACACCGGGACCTCAGATCTCCTGCAAACCTCTCCCCCAGACCGCCTTTGCTTTACTCTGCTGATTAGATTAGCAGCCTCTCAGGGGATGGCTGCTATTTTGCCTTTGCCTCGCAGAAACTAAATGTGTTTCGGAACATATGTGCGGCGCAGAGAGGGAAAGCATGAAGCAGAAGAGCTGGAATTGGCATCCCCTCCGCCCCTGCTGTTGGGAAATGACAGCAAATAGAGATGACTCTGCCTTGTGTATACGCTGCTTGGGGGGGGTGGGGGGGGGTGGGTGAGCACTGTGTCTGCCGCCTGGCAGGTTCTCTATGAGCTGTTGTGCCCTCCAGGCTCGTGGTTTCACACTGCTCCTTCTTGATGCCACCCTGGGGAGCAGCCGCTGCACTGCTGAGTGATGCTTGTGCCTTGGTACGTGGCACTTTGGGACTTGCAGCCCAGCAGGGCCTAATGGGGCCCTGGGGATCTCAGTGCCCTGCTCCTTGCTTTCTAAGCCCCTGATTCTCCTATTGACAGGTGATGCCATTTCCAGGGTTATTCATGGGGAGACCCTCCGAGACGTGCAGGCTGATTCTGTGCCCTAGAGCAGGGGACCCTTGTGCTCTCCTGCTGCAGCCCCATCTGCACGTGCAGGCAGGCAGCACCAGCTCTCACCATCACCATGACCTTGGATAAGGTTGGAAGTGCTCAGTGTGCAGCAAGGACAAGTGTACCTAGCTTCCAGCACGTGAGTGGCTGTATTTTCTCCCTCCAAGGCACAGTCAATACAGGAGAGCCCAGGTTATCAACATGCAGCACTGGAGGGAGAGGATGTGGAGGTCAGGGTGACCTTGCCTGGCTCTTCCCTGAGAAGAGCTGTGCTAAGTGGCTCTCTGGAGCTGAGAGGCATCTCCATGCGTAGCAGCCATATCCCTGAGCCCAGCACCGCTGGGAGAGAGCAGCAGCATCAGCCCCTCACCATGGGAGCCCTGCCAGCATCCCCGTGAAAGCGGCTGCAATTTATGTGGAGCCGATGTAGGCTTGCATGAAAATGAAGTGTGCTGGAAATCCATGGTCTGAACACAGCTGCCTCTGCAGTGTGTGGAGGGACAGGCAGGACGCAGGCATCTACCGGGGCATTGCAGGGTGGCGGTGTAAGCCCACACCTCCCCAGCCCTGTGCACCTACCCTGGGCTTGCGGCTGGGTTTGGAGAGCAAATGGTGCTGGAATGAGGAGTGAGGATGCACCTCTGATGGTACCACCCTCTGCGTCAAGTACCATTGCAGTGGGATGGCTGGATCAGGGAAAATGCAGTGGGTGCCACAGCAGGGAGAGCTGCCCCTTCCCCTTTGCATGCAGTGACCCCGGCCCCATACTCACCCTGCAGCCCTCGCCTCTGCTGTCCAGTTGCTCCCTGGGGAAAACTGAGTGCTGTCCTTTCAACCTCATGGGACTTTGGAAGAGGGCAGCCAGGAGCTGAAGGCTGGGAGATGTGGGTCCCAGGGCAGGGGGCTGGCTGAGGCTCACGGGAAAGCTCTGGCACTGGAAAGGGTTAAATTGCACATGAGGACAGAAAGAAAAGAGAGAAAAAGAAGAGATCACTTGGTCAGTGCCAGCCTGGTCGAGCCTGGCTTTGCTTTGTGGAGCACCAGGTAGTGCCTGCCTGGAGTCTGACCCCCCTGAGGCCAGCAGGCAGGGTGGGGCAGGCACGCCTTAACTGGGACACTGGTCCTTCCCTGTGGAAACTGCCATCTCTCTGCCCATACACTGTGGGCACCGTCCTGCCCCTGAGCACAGCTGGGATGTGCAAGAGGGTGATCCGGAGCCACTTGCTCAGCTCTGGTGTTTTCTGCCTGGTACCTCCCTGCTTGTGCTGCATGCTCCTTCCTTCAGGCTTTCAATCTCTCTGGACCTCGTGGACTGGTCTCACAACCTGCACTCCTGCCCACTGCTCAGCATCCTCCTCAGGGTCCAGTCCCACTGCAGTGAAGCAGGTTCCTGAGGTCCATCAGGTGTTGTGCGTGCAAGAAGTGCTTTCCTTTACTGGTTTTGTGTAAAGTGAATTGCCTTGCTTTTTTAGTGCCTGGTGGGGAGATAGGAGCAGCTGTCTTCTCTTGCACCCCTGCTTGGTTCTTACCCATGGAAATGCCTCCAGCCCCTTAATGGCTGTGGTGCTCCTGTGGCCTTTTGATTTCCAAAGCAGTGATGACTCTCACTCTGTTCCTGCTCCTGATGCCCCTGAGACTGGCTGTAGTTCTTCAGTATTCCCACTCCTGATTGCTGGTCTTTTCTCTACGCCTCATAACAGGAAAGAACATTGTTATTACGGGCAGTGGTTCAAATACTGCTGGTTGTGCTTTCCCCCGAATGACCCTGTGGAGCTGCTCTGAGCAGAGCTCTTCTTGACTCTGGCCCTTCTTATTTGGGGGGTTACGAGTCTCTGGAGTGATCCATTTTCATCTTTTTCTGTTAACACATCTAAAGCAGATGACTGGGAAGACTGCGCAGAAGGAAAGGGGAGAGAGGAACCAGCTTGTTTTGTGCTTGGGATGAAGCTGGCTGCCAGGCTTTTGGTGTACAGGTAAATCCTGTGCCCACCTCTCTTCTGTGGTATTAATTGATCCAGATCATCTGCCAACAGCAGATGTTTGTATATATGACTATGGAAAAAAGGGTTGGAAGGGGCTCCATGTGATCCTTGGTGCATCAGTTCTGCGCAAGTGAGCAGGTCAAGAAGAGAAGTAGAGAAATTAAAAGCAATAACTGATCATTCAGTGCTTAAGCAACTCTTATCTGATAGCGAGCAGAAACCACAGCAGCGGTGCTGGGGACAGGAGGGACATCTCTGGATTTAGAACAGTCAAAAACCATCCCCGTACTTGAGTCTTCCTCTCTCACTTCCCCGTGGTCCCTGTCTCTCAGGTATCTGCATCGTTGTGGTTCCGGCTGCTGCTCACCATCATCCCTCCAGCCTCCTGCACCCCTGGGAGCAAATCCAGCTGGGAGGCACACGGGGGTTGAGCTGAGCAGTGGGGGAGCTTCACCCTGCGGGTGAGGACAAGCTGGGGTGGGTCTGTGCCCTGGGGGTTTTGCTCTGCTGGCACCAGGCACCTGCATGCTCAGAGCTTGAGGACTGAGGTCCTCTGGATGCTGCTGACCTCAGCATGGGCTTTAAATACAAGTCATGCAACAGGATCAGGCCCTGCGGGGAACCAGGGTTCCAGGAAACCAGGGACCTTGTCTAACTGGGAAAACCCGGAGGAAGTGACCCTGACCTCTGCCTGAGGAGGAAGAAACCCGTTTTTCTTCCCCTTTTCTCTCCATCTGTCTCATATTCTCCCTTTGCGGTAAGGCAGCTCTTTCAGAAGTCACTGAAGTTTCCCTTCTCTTGTCCCTCTCTGCTGCGTAGGGAAGTCCCACTGCCCCATTCCCCATTGCAGCTCTCCTTGGCTGGCTGCAGAGCAGCAGCACGTGAGCTCCTGGTTTGCCCAGGAGCTGCACTTCTGTGTGAGTCGACAGCACAGCTCCTCCTTTGTCTCTGCAGAAGTACCTCTGCCATGCCAGGCACGTGCCCTCCATATGTTTTATATACAACCTGCTACCACGTTTGCCAAATGCTAAACCTTTGCACCCTTTATTAATTTCTCAGAAACGGAAAAGGCAGCTGCAGAAGCTGTGTTATTGTATTTGTTCACACTCATCCATCCCTCTGTGTCTCCTGTGTCTCCAAGCTGCCTGTCTGCCCTGGGTAAAGTCACATCTGAGCCCCAGGGGAGGAATGATGCCGCCTGAGCCTTTTGGATGGCTCTGCCCTTCGGTTCACCTCCCTACATTCTCCTTTCGGTGGCTTGAGACTGTGTTTCTGGGACAGGATCAAGAGCATGTGCTGCAGGAGAGCACGAGCATGGCTCCTTTGTTGGTATATGGGGAACAGGGAGTCAAAGGGCTCCTTATCAATGGATGGAAAGTTTCAGGGCTGCTTATCAGGCACTGCCTCAGAGTTGGATTGAAGTCTTGGGAGCAGCAGTTTGCTCTGTGGCAGATGGCAGGCTCCTCTGTGCTCCCTGTGCTCAGATCGGTGAATGCTCCTGAGCAAGGTGGTGTGCGGGTGGCTCAGCCCCATGGGGACATAGGTGTCCATGGAGGGGACTGGTGCCACCGCCTGGCACAGAGCTTACCCGCCTTGCGGATCCTGACCCCTGTGACATACTTGGGATGATGTTGTGGGAACTTTTGGCTCTAACTTTACATGGGCATTTGTATTTCTTAGATCATTTGCCAACCTAATTTTGCCTGAATTTCTGCCCCTTTCCAGAGATGGGAATGGAACTTGCTGTTGGCTGAATCTGCTGCTGATGCAAACTGACAGCGGAAATGCTAAGGGTGTGTGGCTCAACTGGGAAGGGAACTGCTGAGCTGCTCAGCAGGGAGCTGAAGACCCAGATCTTGGCTCCTGCAGGGACTTGCAGCCTGACTATGCCCTATGGCTAACACCCTGTTGGTCCCCTCTGACAGGCGGTCACTTTCCCAGGCTCTGCTGTGTGCCCAGGCTTTGCTGGCTGCCTACCAGCAGAGAGTGGGACATGTCCATTTTTTGGGAGCAGATGCAGCTAATGGCTGTGCCCATTCTGTACAGCTAATTCTGATGGCAAAACTGTCCCCATTACCCAACAAAACCAGGGATGTTTTGTGTTCCTTGTGAATGGGTGACGATTGCAGGAGTAGCCAGCCACGTGTGAAGCTGGAGTAGCTGGAGCTGTGCTGCCAGCATGGAGGGATGTGCTGAATGATGATGCTCAGCTGAATATCTGAGTGACTGCAAAGAGCAAGAGTTGCCTGAGCAAGGGTTTTCCTACTGGGGCATCAGCTTGTTGCTTAAAAGTTCATGGACAATGTGGGGTCCCCACCTTTGCCTTTCTCTCTGGGAATGGACCTACCATCAAAGCCCTGCATGTGAGAAGGCTCTTACCTCTTGAGGGCTCCATCGGTCAGCAAGATCCCCTTCCCGTTCCTCATCTCCAGTTTCAGGGGTTTACCCTCCTGCCTGCCCTGGCTCTGCCTGCAGTTCCTGCCCCTGGAATGGGCCTTCTGGGGAGGAGGCAGGCCGGAGCTCCTGGGGCCCCCAGTCCTCCAGCAGTGCAGCAAGTGCTGGTAAGCCACCCGGAAATCCCTGTTGAGTGTCCCATAGAGGATGGGGTTCAGGGCTGAGTTGGCGTAGCCCAGCCAGAGGACAATGGACATGGGTGTGCCTTTCACCCTGCTGTCCCCCCACATCCCGCGGTACGTGAACACTGTGAAATAGGGGAACCAACACACGATGAAGGCTCCCATCACCACTGCTAGTGTCACGGTGGCTTTGTGCTCCCTCACCATGGGCGGCATGTGGGTGTTGCTGCTGCAGCACCATGTGTGGTTTATCCTCTTGGCTTGCTCCCTTGCTATCTTGAATATCTGGTAGTAGGTGATGCACATAATGACCAGGGGGATGTAGAAGGTGAGCAGCGAGTCCACGAGCCCATACACAGGGTTCACCTCCAGTGTGCACTCCCTGTTGCAGTTGGGGACTGTGTTTTGGACTGCTGTGCCGTTGGTGTTCCAGCCCAGGTGAATGGGTAGGAAGGAAACCATCAGTGAAACGGTCCAAATAACAGCCAAACCCACAGCCACCCGGGAGGGAGTGACGAGCTGGCTGTAGCGGAGTGGGGTGGTGACAGCAAAGTAGCGGTCCAGGCTGATCATGAAGAGGTTGAGGATGGAAGCCGTGCACAGCATGACGTCCAGGCTGGTGTAGATGTTGCACAAGGTGCTGCCGAAGGGCCAGTCTTTGGCGAGCTCATAAAAGGCAGAGAATGGCAGCACCAGGAGGCCCAGCAGCAGGTCGGTGATGGCCAAGGAGACGATGATACAGTTCGTCAGGCTGCGGAGCCGGCGGTCCAGGGTGACGGCCAGGCAGACGATGATGTTACCGCAGAGAGTGACCATGATGAGGATGGTGAGGCAGGACCCAACCAGCAGCTGCAAGGGGAAGTCCATCCTTTTTTGAGAGCTTGTATGGTTGTAACAAGGATCCATAGTGCAGTTGCATGGATGGAGCAGTCCTGCTCTCACTGGCTCCAAAGCTTCTTGGTGTGAGCCTCTACGATGCAGCTCTAGAGCCCTTTCCAAAGTGACCTTGGGCCTACACTGACCTTGTAGAACATTGCAGAGTCAATTCACACATTCAGTGTTGCTCCTTGCCTGCTAGGAGTGACATGACCCATGGAAAGATGTGGCCCTGTGACTTGCTTGTGCTTGTTGGCCCCATTGGTGAGGTCAGTGCTGGAGCCAATCCCCCATGGCAGCTGCTGGTGGGTCTCAACTGCTCCCTTTTCCTCTGCTGCCTTCTCCTTTTCTCTGAGCAACCAAGGGGTCTCATGTGCTCTGCATGTTTGGTTGGTGGCAGCGGTCTGCAGTGCTCCAGCTGGGACAGAGCTTTGCCTTCCTGAGGACAACCTGCAAAGAAAGCACCAGCACAGAGCTGCAGCGGGTGAAGGTTATTTGAGCTCTCCCTCAAACCCCTCTAGAAATGGGATGCCTGTACCTCTCTTGGATTCTTCAGCCTACTTAAACCTGTATTAGAGAGCCCTTTGGCACCCAGGCACTCATGTCTCTGCAGCTGCATCCCCCCAACCCTGGGGGTACCCGCATGAAGTAGGGATGCTGAGGGAAGGGCAGGGATTCTAGAGGCACCAAGATTCTATGAGCTTATGACAAAAATGAGGACTGGGAGGATGAGGAAAGAGTTTTCCTGAGAAAGCAGTGTGCTTTTATTATGCAATCTAGCAAAATTATTCACAACTGTGTAATTTCTGACGTGTGGCTGTAAGCCTTGCTAAACTTTGCTTTTGCATCTGCACTTCGCAGCAGCCCATGCCTTGTGCTGGTCCCTGCCATCAGCAACTCTTCTATCTCCTGCAGCCCAGAGAGGAAATCCTCACTCTCCTCTGGTCAATGGAGGTAAAAGGAACCTATTCGTCAGTGATGCAATGTCCTGGGAAGGAGGTGGCTGGAAAGGGCTCCAACACCTTCATAGGTCCTGTTCCCTGCAGCTGAAGGGACAAGAGGAATAGGGGCTGGGAGCAGGCTGAGGAGTCCAACTGCTTGTGCTGGGACCTTCATGGAGCTGCCTGTGCTGTAGATGTGATCTCCTAGTGAAGGGGATGGGTCTTCCTCATCCTCCCTGCTGTGCTGCTGGGGGAGAGATGAGCTGGTCCCCATGGGTGATGCAGGACCCTGCTCCCCAGGCTCCCATAGTGGTAGTGAAGCCCTCCCTGGTGGTGCACAGGTTTGTGTAGGAAGGTGGAACTGATTCCCTATAGGGTGCAACAAGCTACAATGGTGGAACAAACAGGAGAAGGAATAGGTCCAGTCTTGGCAGAGGGCAGGGTGAGATTTTAAAGTCAAACTCACCTTGCAAGTACAAGATAAGGATGTGGAACAGGCTGAAATACTCTTCAGGTGATTTATGTCTTTGATTCAAGGTTAGAGGCATGGGGGCCAAGGGAGAGAGTATACCAGGGAGACTGAATGAGTAAATAACCACCAACTGCCAGGAGCCATGTGGTGGAGAGATGAGGACCTGTGAGATTAAAGATGATACCTGCAGCCCTGCTGATTCTAAAGGAACTGAAAGTGAATGACAGTTGATGAATTGGCCCATGGGAAGCGTTCTGCTGAGCAGAGCAAATTCATTGCCAGACAGGGGGTCCTCTGAATTTGGGTGCTGGGGTAAAGGCTGTTGGGAGAGGGCTGTGATACTTTCAGCTGCGGCGGCAGCATGTGGAGTGCTTCCTCACCTCCTGCTGCAGCGCAGGCTCTTGCCATGGAAAGCTCTTTGTTCGTTGCACAAAAGCAGTGTGGAACAAGCTGAGCGCTGCCTGCCCACTGACGGCAATGCTGAGAACAGGTTGTTCTCGGAGAACGGTATTTCCAAGTGAAAGGGATGTTTTTGCGTTGCTCCCAACATGTGGAAATGGCAGGATAAATTATAGGGGGAGTAGCACACTTAGAAAATGCTGTGGGTGGATCACAGCCTCCTACGTGGCTGCTTCACCACACATCAACAACCTGCTCCTGCCACCAGCTCTCGCAGCTCACATGGGCTCTTGCAGCTCACATGCCAGGGCTCAGCTGGTGGGTCCCACCTCTGAATGCATTGGCACTCTTGGTACCGCCATGGTGCAGGCAGTGCCATGGGGCAGCCCTGTGCCACACACCTGACCAGAAATACCTTTATTACTGCTTTTTCTAATTAGCTCAGGGCAAGGAATGGGCACATCATCCCCCATTCAGGGCAGGGGGTAAAAAGCATTCCTGAGTGAGATACAGAGCCACTGGGCTGTGCTGTGGAAGGAAATAGCAGTGATTCCTAAATGAAGGAGACAGAGATGTCCCCATCCCTGCCGAGAACTGGCTGTCAAGGCACACATGTGGGCTTCAGGGCTCGGCTGCCTGCAGACCCTTGGGACTTTGATTCTCTGTGGGATAGGGCAGGACCTGCCAGCTCGGATGTGGGATGTTGCAACCCAAACTGTGGCGGGGGTGTGAGACACTTCCCTGTGTCCCTCAGGCAAATTGTCTCATGGAAACATTCCCCTGAGTGATCACAGCCTCTGGACATGTCTTTGTAGGCTGGAGGGCTGGTGTAGACTGGGACTGTGGCTCAGCCCACTGACATCAGTGCACAGTCCCTGCAGCAATGCACTTAGCCTGGGGCTCTCTCCTGGAGCATCATCCCTCCCAGACTCCACGTCTGCCCCTGGTTTTCTGCTCAGGTCACCACCTTTAATTCCAGGCCCTGTGTCCTCTGCTCCTGTTGCATTTTGGCAGAGCAAGTTCATTTCCTCCTTGATGTATGAGCGGAGCAGCTGTTTCCCATGGCAGGATTTCTAGCAATAGCCTGAATAAGTGATATCCTTCCAGCCCTGTCTCACCAGGCAGCCTTTACATTTACCTGATTATCCTCATTATCACAGCTGGGACCTGCTCCTGGTTCAGAATCACCCTCCTGACACTGGGGGACCAGAGTAGGGCGTTGCTTCTGGGCCGTATTCCAGTGCTTTTTCCCATGGCACTGGTGCTCTGATGGATGCTATCTCTGCTGTGAGGACTTGTCAGGTTGCATTTGTTTTGTTGCAGTTATCCTGGGGTCCCCTAAAAGCCAGATATTTTTCCTATGGTGTTTTCAGCTGCTTAGAGTAGCAATGTTTGCTGTTAGTCCCTAAGCATGTGAACTAATGCCAGTCTATTGTGTTTCTGTCGCTGTTTGGATCCTCTGGTTCTTCTCCTATAGTACTTAGCCTGTTCAAAACTTCTCCCAGGTTTCCAACCAATGCGTTTTCTTAGAGAAACTCCCATTTTCTGAGCCAAGATGACCAATGAAAACCATTAAATAAAATTTATCTCTAGGCTGATTTTTAAAGAACTCTGTTAATAGTCTTCTTCAGAGCATTAATGATCTTCCCATTTTAATGTACTATTGTCTCCCAATTAGCCTCGTAACTCTCATAGTAATTCCTGCCTTCTCCTGCCTGAATAGACATTTTCTGCTCTGTTGCAGCCCATGTTACATTTGATCCACTGTGTTCCCTTTTGAAATGGCAATTATCTCTTCTGGGGAGGGGGCTGTGATTTATCCATGGGATGTTTCTGTTGCATTTTAGCCTTTTATTCCTCCTCCCCATCTTTCAGCATCCTTTCCTTCAACACTGTTGATTTCAGCCCTTTGTGCATTTTTGCGAGACTAATGGGATGCAGCACCTGCTCCGGCAGCGCAGGTAATGCATGTCCATTCATGTGCTTCTAGCTCTGGTTCTGTAATAAATAGGTTGGTTTAAAATCTGTTAAAAGCCTAGGTACATCAGCATGGTACGTAGGCAGAAAAGGAGCGTTTGGCGAGTGTCCGAACGTGGCAGCCTGTCTTTGGAAAGTATTTCCTGCTTCCCGAATGGGCACCAAGAGCAATGGCTGTGGGTTCAGGAGAGGCTCCGCATGAAGCCTGGCCAGGATGGTTCTCCTCTCAGGTAGACCTGAAATGTTTCTTTACCTTCTGCTTTAGCTTCTTTCCGAGCAAAGAGCTCGCAGAAGTCACATTCCTGGCCCTGCAGAGCTCGCAGCAGAGCATCATGGCCCTTTCTAAAATTATATCCAAGTGCTTCCTGAGATTAACCACCCAGGCACGCTGCGAGATGTGCTTCAGGCAAGGCTGAGATGGGCAAGAAGGTGGGGATTTCTCCTGGCTGAAAGAAGATGTTTGGGGTTTGATGGTGGGGAGTGGGTAGAGCCAGGAGCTGCAGGGACCCTGGCAAAGGGCAGTCTTGATCCTCTGCCTCACAATGGGACAAGACTGAATTCGCCAGAGTTTGGGCTTGAAGGCAATGTGAGAGGGGACAAACGTGAGAGTGATGTGGTAACTAGCTTGCTCTGCTGTCTGTGGAGGGCTTTGGTGAGGTTGTGGGGTTGTTTCTACTTATGAGCAGCCTTTCTGGAGGGGCTGTGCTCCTCCCCATGCCTCCCATGTGGTGCTGCACCCCATAGCATCGCTCAGCATGCCTCTGTCCTTGCACTTGCTGAAGGCTTTTGCTCCCTTGTTTCCGTATCGTCCTTGCAATTGCTCATCTCCCCTCTGCTCCCTGGGGCAGGGCTGTTGGATGTGCTGCTCCTGGGTGCTCACACGTTCAAGGTGCCCTGTGCCTTCATTCATGTCTGTAGACAGAGTTTACCCTGTGATCGTACAGGTGCACACAGACAGTTGCAGTCTCATATTTGCAGACTCCTGTCTGCACCTCTGGGACTGGGGGGAGACAGCAGGGTCCTGCCTGGCTGCATCCCCACTTTCCTCCCTGTTCCTTGGTCTCCGCTGGAGCCTGGTGCTCTGCCTGCCCCATCCCAGCCTGAACCCTGACTGATACATAGCACCAATTACTGTCTCTGGCATGAGCAGAGGGGCTGGGGGAGGCAGGACACAATTCCCAATACAGGCACCAGCCGTCCATCGTTCTCCCCAGGGGAAAAAGTGCTCCCCAGGACAGTGGGTAAGAGGGAGTTTGGGGCCCCTGAAAGCAGAGAATCTGAAAGGGTACGTAGAAACCAGCAGAGCAGTCGGCATTTTGGAAGTTTGATCTGCAGAGAGCACTTTGTCTTTTGCAGGCACTCGGAGGGTGCCTGGAAAAGATAAAAACCGAAAACAGAGGTGCTGGGCTCATGGGCGTGCTTGGAGCTGCACAAGTTCCCAGCAGATGTCCCAGGGTTCAGCCTCTGCTGAAGCTTATTCTGGCCAGGGGATGGTGAGCACTGCACACCCCTGGGGAGTGTCCACCCTGCTGTGCCTGTGTTACAGCCCAGCTTGTGGGTACCCTGCCCCGGGAATACCCTGTACCACAGAGCCAGCTTTGCCCATGGACAGGGCAACTCCTGCTCCAGCAGATTCCCACCAACTGCCAGCGTGTGCAGGGCTGGATGGAGGGGCTGTGGTGCCCAGAGAAGGGGCTCTGGCAGCTCGGTGCAAGGAGTTGTCTTAGCAGTGAGCCTCGTGGGGAGGCTGCTTGGGCAGAGATGCTGCACACTGGTGGATGCTTAGACAGGGCAGGGCCTGGGCACGCTCCACCCGTGTCCTCCCTCTGACCCTGGTGTTGTCTGCTCCAGAGGTCCCATCAGCAGCAGCAGCCAGTGAAAGTCCCCAACCTGGCCTCTCCTCCAGGCAGAGTGTAATGATGGTAGCACAGGGGTCCAATGAGCAGCACCCTCTTGCTCTGACCCGGCTATCCCATTGCACATCCCAACCTCAGCGAGCACGCACCAGCCCCTCTGAGATCTCACCTAGAAAGTGATTTACCAGTGTAACAACCGAGTGAAAAGTAAGGCAAAAGCTTTACCTGGGAGAGATGCTGCTTTCCCTCCACCCGCAGCCGGTGGAAGCCCTCGGTGGCTGCGCTGCCTCCAACTTTCCCCCGGTGTGTGTGGCTCAGTTGGTGAAGGCAGGAGCGTGTGCTGCGGGATGCTGCTGCCTCCTTCCCTCTCCTCTCCTCCCTCCCTCCCTCCCTCCTCGCACCAATATCCAGGCAGCGCGGTGACTGCAACATGAGTCAGACCACAAGTGGGTGGGATCAGAGCTGTGAACTCAGACACTGAGGTTATCATCCGGCAAATTTGAAATGCTGGAAGTGAGCCGTGCTCGGGGCATGCGGTGTGTCGGGCTCCACTGAGCTGTGCCGGGCACAGAGCAGGGTGGGATGCCTCCTGCCTCCCACTGCTGCTTCCCTGGGTGATGCCCGTCACCTTCCTCGCTAACATTAAGGTCTCAGGGCCCTTTTGCCATGTGCAAAGCCTCCCTCCTGAGCGGCTGCAGGCACAAACTCACAAACTTCCCTGCTGCCAGGAGGCCTGATGCCATCAGTTGCTCCTAATGCAAACCTGACTTTGCATTTGGTGTGAGCACCCTGAGAGCAAGAAAGCCAACCCTTTGGAGATGGCTGAGAGGCCACAGGGGGGATTGAGGCTCTTGAGTTGCACTGGGGAGAGATAAAGAAAAAGGGGGTGTAACTGCAAAGCAGGATGAAACTGGAGCCCAGTCAATGCTGGGGTATAAATTTGCTTCTTGTGCAACTCAAGGTGGCAGGAGGAGCCCATGCCAGCACGCTGGGGGTTCTGTGCCACAGTGGGGAGAAGCTCGTGGTGGATCAGTGGCAGGGATGCTCCAGGCTGGGCATCTTTCCCACAAGGTTGCATTTGCCTTTGCTGAAAACTGTCCCCTGAATGTGTGTGATGGCAGGGAGGGAAGAAACCAAATGACAAGCAGGCAGTGGCAGCCTTTCATGTCTCTCAAATCTTTCATCTGCAGGTTTCAAAGCACTGTGTGAATATCAGCTGCTGGGCCAGCTGTGTGAGGACCTGCTTTCCCTTTTAGCTCTCTGCCTCGAGCTGAGCAGGTCCCAGGCTGCCAGCAGAACTCCAGTGAAGCTTGGCCACCCCTCTGGCTCTGCATGGCCTGGAGACAGCAGCACTGGCAGTGATGCACTGTGAGAGAGGTGCTTCAGTCCCCACCAGCCACTTCTGAGTCCTCAGAGCAAATAGCCAGGGACTGAATTATTACAGCCTGGATGCGGCCCTGAGCTCCCTAAGCTGGAAGGAGACAGGTCCTACTGCTCCCCAGCTCACTGGGCTGAGCTCCCCCAGTGCCCTATGCTGGGAATTGAAAGCACATCCCAGCCTCCATCTCTTCCAAACGGGGATACTGGTGGCACTGGCACACAGACCAAAATGCCTTTGATGTGTTTATCTCTGCAGACCAAAGCATGAATCTATCTTTAATAAGCTTATGATGTGCTGGAGCTGGAGAGTTTTCCCCTTGATCAGCAGCCTGTGATGTGTCTGGGTACCAGAACTGGGGACTGGCTGCTGGGAGCTTCTCAAGTGGCTGGTGTGTGCAGTGTGTGTCCGCAGAGGGATCCCTCCTTCAAAACAAGACTGAAATCCGCTCAGGAATGTCTGCGTCAGCTCAAGTTGCTGGGGTGCTGATTTTGTCCAGGCCCCTCGCTTGGCTCTGCTCTAGGAGTGATCTTACATTTGTAAGTGTCAGGATGGGAAGTGCCATGTAGGGATAAAGGTCTGTGGTTATCAGGGCAGGATCCTCTCTCCAGTCTCCCTGCCCTAATCCATCCCACTGCTGCTCCCCCAGCTGCTGGAGATGGGGCCAGGCTGCCGTTGCCTTTCCCCAGGCTGGATCCATTGGTCCCAGCTCTGCAGAAGGATGCTGCATGCAGGGTGCTTGGGGTGCAGTGTTGTAGCAGCCTCAGGTATGCAGGGGTGTCTGGGTCATGGGGGAACCCAACACTTCTGGAAACCCCTGAGCAGAGGAGGTCCTAGGGCTCTGACCTTGTGCAATGGCTGGGTGGCTATGGAGCTTCTGAGGGGCTGTATGGCCTGGTGTGCTAGATCTGAGTTAACTGGAGAGCGTAGCACTAGAGGTGTGAGAAGGACAGCCTGCATAGATCACACAGTGAGGTGAAGGAAAGCAGCTGGACCTAGAGCCAAAAGAAGCTGTGCAAGAGTATTCCTGCTGGCACAGACCACTCTGCTCTGCACATCTACAGAAGCAACCTGGGAAGTGGCAGATACAGTACCTGGGTATGCTGTGGCTGGAAAGTATGAGTGGTGGCAGGTTCCAAAAAGGAAGGAGGCACTTGAGACCCATCAGATCTGATGGCCAAACCACAGTGCGTGCCCTGGCAGTGTGGCCACCTTGGCCAGGCTTGCTGGGCTGCATGGAGTGGGCAGCAACCGGAGACACTTGTAGCTGGGAATTTCCCCAGGCAGGCTGTGCTGAGCCATGGAGTGAGTAATGAGCCAGGGAATAGCAAGGAAAAGTCTTCTATGTCCTATGTGTGTGTGAAACAGCAGTTATTGAAGGCTTTAGCAATGCTGAAGGTGGGGAAGTACAGGACTCCTAGAGCAGGGATGCGAGGTTTGGCAAACATGGGAGCTCCTGAAAAGCTTTGCATGGTGAAGTTATGCCCACATATGGCAGTTCAGCTCTGAGCAGGGCTCGGAAGGGCAGCTGTGTGCTGCTCTCTTCAGCCTGGGCTGGGTTTGGAAAAGCCAAAGGAGGAAGGGAAAGAGGAGCAGAAAATACCTGGAACACACAGCCTCTGGGTGCGGAGCTGCTCTGGGGCAGTGCAGGCTGGGCAGAGCTGGCGGGGTGGCCCATTGGGTTTCAGAGACATTGATGTGAGCTCTGGCAGAGGATCCAGGGTTGGGTTTTGGGACTTGTGCTGAGTTCTTTCTTCTGGAAAAATCCAACCTAAAAAGCCATGGAAAGACTGCTGCCCTTCCTGGCCGGATGGGAGAGGCCAGCATCTTTTACTCGGATCACCTGAAGACTTTGATTTCCAGTGGATTATGTACAGGGGGAAAAGAAGAGACCTTCCCAATGTGTCAACATGCTGCTGTTTTTTAAAACAAATACTTCCCAGTGAAATCTTGTCCTGGACAAAGTGGTGAATTATGACAGAAATCTCTGATATTCCCTGTCGGGGCTGTGTGAGCCAGAGCACACTTGTGGGAAGTAAATATTGCAAGGGAAGGACCTGTAAAACAGCACCAGCGAGTCCAACATGGGAGCCTGGCACTGTGCAAGGAACTGCTCCTGCCTGCAGACCAGTGATGGGAGACCCTCGCTGTGCTGTGGCTGAGGTCCAGAGCAACATCCTGCTTGTGTGTGTATTTTTGGCATGCCATAAACCCTGGCTATTCCAGGAATGTTTCTTTCCAAAGGCAGGGATACGTACTGGAGAAGGAAAGGAGGCTTGGGCCTTTCCCACCCCTCTGTTTGCTGCAGTGCTGATCCCAAGGAGGCTTAGCAGGACCCCATCTGCTGTGATACAGTGTTAGACTATAGACACAGTCTGTCATATATTTCTTAAGCTTCTCCTAGTGCAGAGGGAGGATGTTAGAGGTTTGTTCCCAGGTTGTCAGTCTATCTGTGTTATGCGACGCTCTCCAAGCTCTAACAAGAGCTGGAGGGTGCTGGCTGGCTTCACACTCGCACGTTGCTCCTTCAGGCAGGTGAGTGTTCACATGTCCAAGGTCCCAAATTCATTGGGACTCCTAGAATAGGGGGAGAGCAGTTTGTATAACACCAGTACAGGAGGTTTCATCTCTCTGATGCACTGTAAAGAGAAAGAGGAAATGTTGAGGTCTGTGGGAAGAGGTGACAGCCATTACCCCCAGGCAATGAGGCTGGGAGGGCAGTGGGAACCTTGGCATAGCATGTACCCACCGGTGTGCATGAGATGTCCCCAGGAAGGGAGCAACCAGTTACGGCTCCGATGAGTGGGTCTTTTATGGGCTTTAGCACTAATCCTGCCAAATGCAATTGTACATGTCCTTGTTTTCCAGATAAATATTTAATCCTCTTCCAAACGCTGCTGAGATCGTGGCCCGGGTGATATCTTGTGGCAGCAGGTTAATCTGGGGCTGTGCAAACCTGCTGCCCCATCCGGGTGTGGAGGAGGCTGAGCAGTGGGTTACTCTTAGTCCAGGAGCAGAGTGGGAGGAGGGGATGCTTTGGGATGCAGCTCTGCTCACACCCCTCCTGGCATTTTTGGGCCCTGTGTCAGGAAGGTCTGCCAGCGCTTGCAGGAATGAGCTGTCAGGTTTTAGCCTGGGGCCAGTGGATTCTGGTCTGTGTATGTAAGATCCTGCTCTGATGTTGGTTCAGTGATTTAGGATTTCTGAGGGCTGGAAGCCAGCTCCTGCCCCGTGGCTTCACAGGGAGGTTTGCCTGCTTGAGCCCCAGGTGCTTTGAAGCATTTCCCTGCAAAGCTGGCAGGAGGCTGTGCTGCTGGGCATGGGGGCAGGAATGAGAGGATTAGCAAAACGCTCCCCTGCAGCGGGACCGCCATGGGGCTGGCAAGGAGCACAAAGCTCGGAGCATGGACTGAGCACGGGCATTGCCCAGGCAGGCTGCCGGCTGCTGCTGCCAGCTCACACCCTGCCCGGGCCCTGAGCTGGACCTGCTGAGATCCTGCCTGATCTGCCAGTGCGGGCAGACGGGGCACGGGTCGGCCCTGTGAAGACCAAGAGTTGCAGAGGGACCATAAAGTGGCTGCCCCATCGCTGGTAGTGTTCAAGGCCGTTTTGGACGGGGATTTGACCAGCCTGGTCTAGTGGAAGGTGTCCCTGGCATGGAACTGGATGAGCTTTAAGGTCGCTTCCAGCCAAATCATTCTACGATTCTTTGAAGCCAGTGCAGTGCTGAGCTGCTCCCAGCATGAGATTAAGAGCTGGGCACCAGTGTGGATGTGCGTCACCAGCACGTCCCTGCACGCAGACCCTGACAATGAGGGCACCTGGGGGGGGAGCAGCATTGCAGCAGTGTGGGCAAGCTCAGCCAGGCCAGGACAGAGACTGTGACACCCTGCCTGCGACCTGCCGTGCCTCTGTGCCAGACTGCTGCACTCTCCATCTCCCGTCCCACTGCAGGTAACTGTAACAATGGGAGCTGTGGCTG